GGCGCCGGGCCGCCTGCGCGTACGTCCTGCTGCGCAACAGCTTCTCGGGAAAGTGGGGCTCCTTCGCACAGCAGCGGCCGCTGGCACTGAGCAGCGTGCGGCGTCTGCAGCCACCGTGCAACGTGACGTGCGGCACCAGGACGCGCTGGCATATCTACGCGCTCTGCCCTGCCTGGCGCACCAGTGCATCTACGCTGACCCTCCTTACATTTTCCCCGGCCGCAGCATGAACTACTATGGTACGAGAGGGGGCCACGACCTGGTCTTTCACACGGAGCTGCGAGACGCACTCTTCGCGAGCGGCCTGCCCTTCGTCGTCAGTGTCAACGACGTGCCGGAGGGCCGGGAGCTCTACAGCCGGGCCGACTCCATCACAAGCCTGTGCTCGGGGAAGAACAGTTCCAAGCCCGAGCTGCTCGTAGTGCACCGGGGCAATCCTGTTGCCAGCGCAGGATTGGTTGAAGCAATCCTGTTGCCACAGCAGGATTGAAGGGGCAATCCTGTGCCCACGCCAGGATTGACGGATGGGCGTGTGAGTGGTAAAAAACACTCTGTCAGCGATACTGCGAGGACAGCCTTGCTGACGGACCTCCGGCGCTGGCCCGGTGATGGGTTTTTCGGGCAATCCTGTTGCCACGCCAGGATTGAGTGAGCAATCCTGCGCCCACGCCAGGATTGACGGCTGGGCGTCTGGGGGCGATGCTGCGAGGACAGCATCGCTCCCAGACCTTCGGCGCTGGCCCGGTGATGGGTTTTTCGGGCAAAAAAGCGAAGTCGGAATTCCGACCTCGGTGGGAGAGCAAGTCGGCCAAATGGTTTATATTCTACCTGAGAGGCTCCCAGCACTCGTCCGTCCAGCATTTGACCTCGTCCTGCGAAGGATTCGAAGTCTAAAACGCTGCGTGCAGGCGTGTGGCTGCAAAATAGAGACCCCTAGATATGCGCTGCAATTTGGCTCCAGGTTGCATTTCAAGCGATGTCAAGCTTTGCCAAAGGAACCCCTTTTCCCTTTTTTTCGGGGACCCCTTTTTTTGGGACCCCTTGTTTTCTTTTTTTTGTTTTTTTCTTAGCCCTGCAAAGGTTGGCTCGCTTGAAATGCAACCTGGAGCCAAATTGCAAGCATATCTAGGGGTCTCTATTTTGCAGCCACACGCCTCCACGCAGCGTTTTAGACTTCGAATCCTTCGCGGGACGAGGTCAAATGCTGGACGGACGAGTGCTGGGAGCCTCTCAGGTAGAATATCAAAAACATTTGGGGAAACCCCCCTCTAACAGAGAGAGGCGCGGGCCTTCAACAACTGGCTAGGCGAGCGCAGGCAGGCGCAGGAGGGGCAGCGGCGCCTGGACGACGTGAGCCGGCTGACGGAGGCCGTGCACCGCCAGGTACCCCAGCTGCGCTACGCGCGGGCCGAGCGATAAAGACGCTTCGGGCGCACTGCTTCAACCAGCGCCCGCGCTTTGAGCAGGTGGTGGGCTACCTTGAGCGGAATGAGCCGCTGCCCCTGGATCAGCCGGACCGCAAAGCCCCTGCAGCACACGCCTCTGCAAGCAATTCCCAAGGAAGGCTTCCGCACTCCCGCACAGGCCACGGACGCCTTGCGCGGAGGTACCAAGGGTACGGCGGAACCCGCTTTGTTGAGGATGACCTGGCAGGAGACCCCAAGGCCGGCGCCTTGGCCAGCAACGGGCAGGGGCCGTCCGTCACGGACCGTCTGCGCAGCACTGCAGACGGCGCGCAGGCGGCAGCGGACCTCATAGGCGCAGGGGCAGCGGGACTTGCAGCCGCGCAGGCTTTCCGCTCTCAGCTGCCCCAGGACGCTGAGTACGTGCGCTTGAACGTGCTGCCCCGTCCGGGCCAGGCGCAGCCGCCTTCGCAGATCATAGGTCGGCCCAGTAATGTGGAGCCTTCTCTTTAGAGGGAGTTTCCCAAATGGTTTATATTCCTGAGAGGCTCCTAGCACTCGTCCGTCCAGCATTTCACCTCGTCCTGCAAAGGATTCGAAGTCTACAACGCTGCGTGCAGGCGTGAGGCTGCAAAATAGAGACCCCTAGATACGCTTGCAATTTGGCTCCAGGTTGCATTTCAAGCGAGCCAACCCTTCGCAGGACGAGGTCAAATGCTGGACGGACGAGTGCTGGGAGCCTCTCAGGTCGAATATAAACCATTTGAAAACCCCCTCTAAAGAGAGAGCCCTAGATATGCCGCAATTTGGCTCCAGGTTGCATTTCAAGCAATGTCAAGCTTTGCCAAAGGAAACCCCTTTTCCCTTTTTTTCGGGGACCCCTTTTTTTGGAACCCCTTGTTTCTTTTTTTTTTGTTTTTTCTTAGCCCTGCCCTGCAGAAGCTCCTCGCCGCGTTCGTCGGCGCTCGGAAGGCGCCCGCGTCCTCCACCGCCTTCGCGCGCCGGTCGGCGAGGTCCTTGTTGTGCTGGAACTTGTCGGCGTTGTCTTGCAGGACCCTGAACTCCGTGGCCGGCTGCTTCTCCACGTCCTCGGGCGCGCCGTGCACCGTCTCGTGGGGCCGCGCGTTGTAGGCCGAAGCGGTCAGCTGAAAGTGGTCGCTCCACTGCCCGCCCTTGCGCGCCACCCTCGTGGCCAGGTCCTTCTTCAGCGTCTGGATGCCCCGGTCCACCACGGCAATGGCGTTGCGGTCCTCGGGCCGCTTCGTGCGGAGCACGGCATTTTCGGGCAGCTCCCGGTCCAGCGTGGCGAACTCGTTGCCCAGGTCCGTCGTGACCACGAAGTTCCCGTCGTCCCCCGTCAGCTCCCGCGCGGCGCGCTTGGCCGTCTCGGCGTTCTTGTTCTGCAGAGGTTCCACGGCGGCCTCCCGGGTGAAGACGTCCATCACCACCAGGCCGTACTTCGTCTTCGTTCTGGCTGAAGTCGATGAGGTCGGCCTGCAGCCGGTCGTGGCCCATCGGCGGCCGACTTGCCCAGCGCGCGCGGCCGGGGCGCCTGCACCTGCCGGCCCACGTCGGCCTTCAGCGCCTCGAAGGCCATGGCCTGCGTCGCGTCGAGGTCGCGCTGCCTCGCGAGTCGGTACAGCTTCCGCGGGTCCCGCACGTTGAAGTCGTCGGCCAGGTCCCTCAGCGCCTCCATTTAGGTTTGTTGCCCCCAAAAAGGAGCTTGCTCAAGGTTCCCTGAATGCCGGGAGGCCTGAGGACACCTACTTGTTGCCCCAAAAAGGAGCTGATCAAGGCTCCTCGAGAACGAGGAGGCCTGAACACACCTACTTGTTGCCCCAAAAAGGAGCTTGAGCTTCTTGCCCCAAAAAGGGGCTTGAGCAAGGTTCCGCGGACGCGAGGAGGCCTGCTCACACCTACTTGTTCTTCGGCCCCACCTCGTCCAGCCGGGCCTGGAAGCCCTTGCACACCCCCCAGAGCACGCTGGTGAGGTGCGAGTAGTCGAGGGTGATCATCTCCGTGCCGTCGCTCCACCGTGCGGTGCCCGTCAAATTCTTCCACTTTGTTCCTGCGAAGTCGTCCGAGGCGAAGCCCAGCCTCAGGTCCCCGTTCATGTCCGGGCGCTTGTACTGCTTGGCCTCCACGGAGTCGAGAAGCTTGTGTTGCAGACCACGTTGCCCGTGTTGCCTGCGATCGCCAGGCAGCCGGGGTTCCTCTGGTTCGTGGTCAGGGACAGCTGCGTGGAGAGGCTCTTGGTCTGCGCCAGCGCCTCGTCGTTGATCATGATGAGCTCGCGCTGGTGCGTCCCACCGTCCCGCTCCAGGAAGACCCGCGCGCTCTGGTTGCCCAGCAGCCGCAGCTCCGGGCCGCTGTCGGGGGCCGCGCTGTTGTTGGACACTTGCAGCTTGCTCCAGCCCGCCCAGTTCTTCTTCAGGAAGAGATCGTCCGAGAAGTCGGAGGTGTTGGTCACGGTGAGCGTGTTGGACGCGAAGAGCTGCGGCGCGGAGACCGTGCCCGAGCTCGTCACGTTGCCGCGCACCACGCTGCCCGTCGACACTCCGCCGCTCGTGGCCGTGAAGGTGCAGTCCAGGCTCTCGCAGTCCAGCGGGCCCGCGGAGGCCGCACCGGTGATTGTCAGCGTGGCGCCCGTGAGCGCCCCGGTGGCTGCGAAGCTCGCCGCCGTCGCTGCGCCCGAGGCCGTCAGCGTGCCCGTGGACACGTCGCCCACCGTGGTGAAGTTGCCGGCGTTGGCCGTGTTGTTGATGGTGAGTGTGCTGCCGGTGATTCCTGTGGCGGAGCTCAGCAGGCCCACGCTGGCCGCGCCGCTGATGCTCAGCGAGCTGCCTGACACGGCCCCTGTGGACGACAGCGCGGCCCCGGCGACGGTGCCTGTGGCTGTGAGCGCTGCGCAGGAGACTGCGCCCGAGGCGTCCACGCCCGTGGTGAACACGCCCGTGCAGTTCACGTCGTTGCACAGCAGCTGGTCGCAGCCCACGTTGCCCTGCGCGGTGAGCCCGTCCAGCGTGGCCGAGCCCGTGAGGGCCAGCGAGTCCGCCAGCAGGTCCGTTGCGAGGCCGTGCCGAGGAAGGCGCCGGTGACGCCCACGTAGTCGTTGTCGGCCGCGCTGACGTACATCACCAAGTTGGAGGCCGTGCCCAGCCGGTACCGGCAGCCGAAGGAGTAGCGTCTCCCCACCGGCGTCAGCGTGTAGGTGCGCACGATGTTCCAGGCGAAGGCGCTCAGGGTCATGGCGTAGCCCGCCAGCTGGAAGCCTCCCACCGCGAAGCTGGCCGAGGCCACGCACCTCTGGCTGTTGGAGCGCACCAGAAAATTTCCTAGCGTGGTGAGCGTGGGTTCCAGCAGCACCTTGCCCAGGGTTGCCAGCGTGACGTCGTCGGCCCCTCCGTCGAGGAACTCGTGCTTCAGCAGCAGCGCCGAGGCCGCCGTGTCCTCCTCCTCCGTGTTGCCGGCCGGATCTGGGCGCGCTACCAGTACAACAAAGCGATCCTGCGTGCCTCCGCCGGCCCAAAAGGGAGCGCCTTCTCACAGGAGGCGGGCCCGCGGCTGGCTGACGACTTGTTCCTCTGCCCGGCCACCATGAAGATGACCCGGGACAACTCGCATCTGCTGCGACGGCGGGGTCGGCCTATCTGAAGGCGCGGGCAGCGTCCTGGCTGGCCTGGACGCTCGAGGCCCTCGACAAGTCCAACATTGCGAAGGAGCTGCTGGAGCTGACGGGCGAGGGCGGGGAGGCGCTCCAGCAGGCCCTGGCGACCTTGAACACCGAGGGAAAGCACGCCCGCGACGCGGCCGAGGCTTCAAGGAGCTTGCGGAGTTTGTGGCGGCCCAGGGCGGAAGGCTGACCAACAGCCTGATCAAGGCCACCGTGGCCGCCAGCCGCATCTACCTCATGGGCGCCTCGCTCCTGCAGATCACCGCCGCGCTGCAGTACCCGGCCTGGTGGGCCGACGCACCCGAGGACGCCTCGGAGGGCCGCGCGGTCCGGCGCTGGAGAGCCGACCCCAAGAACGTGGATAAGACGGCGGTCGCGGTTGGCGCGCTCTACGAGGAGAAGGGCGAGCGGGAAGCGCGCGGCGGCAGCGACAACTCCGCCGCCGGCATCTTCAAGCGGAGCGCGCCGCGGCGGCGCGAGGAGGAGGAGGAGGAGGACGAGGACGACGAGCAGGACGCGGCGCCGGCCAAGAAGAAGAAGCGCCGAGCAGCGCCCCCCAGCGCATCGGAGGAGTCCCCCCTCAAGGACACCCGCACGAAGGCGAGGGCCGGCAAATCCCCGGAGGTCGACAAGAAGAAGGCAAGGAGAAGCCGCCAAAGCGCCGACAGCGCGAGGTCTCCGAGGAGGAGGACGACCACAAGGCGGCCGCCTTCGGGGAGGCGCAGGTCCTCCTGGCGGCGGCGGAGCGGAAAGCCATGGAGACCGGCAACGCGCCGCAGTCCAAGGCGCCGGCAGAGGAGATCAAAGCGCTCCTGTCGCAGCTGCCCGCGGGACTGGAGCCGTGGAAGCCGTCGCTGCCGGAGGCGGACACGGAGGGCAACATAGCGGGGCCCGCGGCGAAGAAGGCCTGCCAACACCTGGAAGCCCTGGCATCTGAGGCGGAGTCGTTCCTGCTCGCGCAAGGACAAGAAGCGGGGGGCAGCGCCAGGGACAAGCGAGAGAACTGACGAGCCGGGCAACTGAGACAGAGCCGGCTCAGCAGAGAGCCCGGGCCGCCCCAGCAGAACAGCGGAGGCGCCGGGATCAGCGCGCGACAAGGGGTTCGGGAGCGGAAAGGGAGGGGCAGAGAGACGCAGGGAAGAGGGCGAAGACTGCCAGCTCTCAAGAAAAACGGAGACGCGTTTGTTTGGACAGTTCGAAAACGGTTTGGCCCCCTTGGAAGAACGCGCGAGTGAGCCTTGGCTCAAAGCCGAAGAAAGCTAGAGATCGCTCGCGAGCCCGGCAATGGCAGGAACGCGCTTGCTGGCCCTGGCGCTGGAGAAGCTCGCGCGCCCGCCGCTGCCGGCCTGCCCCGCCGCGCACATCTGCGGCTACCTCACTGCGGCCGAACGGGCGCGCGCGCAAGAGGCGGGGCGCAGCGAACAGCCCGTCGGCGCCCGCAGCGCCCTAGCGCGGGCGGCGGCGGAGACCGCGGAGAAGCTTCAGACGGCCCTGGACCGCGCCGGTCTCGCGGAGGCGCAGTGGCCAGGTCTGCTGGAGGCCGCCGGCATCGAGGACAGTGCCGTGGCGGCCCCGGGGACCACGGACTTCTACGCGCGCGCGGAGGTCCGCTGGGGCCTGCGCCCGGCGGACGCCCTTCCGAAGCACATGCTCGCGGACCACTTGACCGAGTTCTGCGGCACCACAGACTGGCGGGCGGCGTTCGAGGCGGCGCAGGAGGCGGAGGCGGTGGGGCCGTTGACGGAGCTCCTTGCTGCGCGAAGCGGCCTGGGTCTCCCCGAAGGTCTACAGCGAACACCTGAACCTGGAGGAGTACGACGGCCAGGAGTTCGGGCTGGCGGTCCACTTCGCCTGGCGGGGCCACGAAGCCGCCTTCTTCGTGCCGGAGATCCTGGTGGACCCCGCCGGCTTCGGAAGTGATTGAAAAGCCCAAGCCCGCCCGAGAGGGGCGCGCGGCGAAAGAACGGGCAGGAGCGAAGAAGAAAGAGTGCGAAAATGAAAAAGCTGGCAGAGAGAGAGAGAGAGAGAGAGAGAGAGAGAGAGAGAGAGAGAGAGAGAGAGAGAGAGAGAGAGAGAGAGCAAGAGGGGTGAACGCCGCTGTAGTCGCTAATTGCCCAAGCAAAAAAAAACGATAGACTGACTCCCCTGAAACCGCAGCAGCCATGGCCGACCGCCGCTGCCCGCCCGAGCTGCTCGACTTGGAGAAGCGCGGGGCCCAGCCCGCGGGCGACGCAGACGAGGCCTACTTCCTCTGGCGGCGCGCGGAGGTCGCCCAGTACTACCAGCGGCTGGGAGGCTCGCGAGCGGCGGAAGACGGCGGGGCGCCGGACTTCGACCCGGCGCTGCCGCTGGCGGACTACGTCGCGGCGACCCGCGCCTGGCTGGAAGAAGCTCTGGAGGAAGACGAGGCCCCCGTGTCGGCGGACGTCCTGAACCTGCTGGCGGAGGAGATGGGCTACTGCCCCCCGGGGTCTTCATCTTGGAAACCCTAAACCCTAAACCCTACACTCAAGGCCGAGCGCCGTACCGCAAGCGCTCGGCCGCAGCAGCTGCATTGGTGCTGGCGCAGAGCAAGTCCGGCATGGCGAGCGAAAGCGCCCCGAGTTGCGTTCCTCTGCAACGAGCGCGGTTTGGAGCTGTAGCTCCCGCTGCCAGCGCCAGCTGGCCTTAGAATGAGTAACCCCAAACCTTCAACGAGTCGCAGCGTCCTCCTTATGAACTTTATCAAGGCTCCTTATACGAAGCTTCAGAAGAAGCTTTATGAGAAGCTTTAGAAGAAGCGTTGTAAGACGCTTGAAAAGAAGCTTTCTAAGAAGCTTTAAAGAATAAGAAGCTGCATAAGAAGCTTTGTAAGAAGCTTTAGAAGCTGTCCGCTCGCTTTGCCAGCTCTTTCTAAAAATGGCTCGACTTGGCCGTTGATAAACTGCTTGTACGGGGCAATATGAAATCGGCCATCCGCAGTCTAAATCTAAAGATCTGGCCATGCGGCCGCTTCTTGGTGATAAACCGGCCATTGCGGCCACTGGCCTGGCCTTTATAAAGCGGCCACTGTTGCTAAAACTGCTATTGAGGCTGGCCGGCCTTGATAAAACGGCCATCGCCTTTGATAAAACGCCCACTGCGGCTGGCCGGCCTTGATAAAACGGCCAATCGCTTTGCCAGCCCTTGATAAAAATGGCTCGGCTTGGCCGCTGATAAACTCCTTATACGGGGCAATATGAAATCGACAATCCGCAGCCCGAATCTAGGAGATCTGGCAATTTGGCCGCTTCTGCTTGATAAAACGGCCATTGCGGCCACTGGCCTGGTCCTCGACCTTGGAGATCTGGCTATTTGTCCGCTTCTGGTTGATAAAACGGCCATTGCGGCCACTGGCCTGGTCCTCGCCCTTGATAATCTGGGCCGCCCGTGTTGCGACATAGGCTTCGGGCCGCATATGCCGCGGCGGCCTCCAAGATCCCCCCGCTTTGCGTCGCTCGGAAACTTGTTTCGGAAAGCCCGACGGGCCAGCCCCCAGCGCCAAAATAACGGAGCGTGCGCGAGCGACGGCGCGGGTTTGCCATGGCTGTCGTGGAAGCTTCGCCCGGAAGATTGTTTCGGGAAGCCCGACGGGCCAGCCCCCAGCGCCGAAATAACGGAGCGCGCGCGTGCGACGGCGCGGGTTTGCCATGGCTGTCGGCGTCCAATATTCCCGCTTTGCGTCGCTCGGAAACTTGTTTCGGGAAGCTCGTCGGGCCAAGCCAACCCCCAGCGCCAAAACGACGGAAGCGAGCGCGAGGGAGGCTGTCGCAGAAGCTTTGGCCGTCGCCCGGAAATTGTTTCGGGAAGCCCGACGGGCCAGCCCCCAGCGCCAAAATAAGCCCGACGGGCCAGCTCCCAGCGTCAAAATTACGGGAGCGAGCGCGAGCGACGCGCCCCCTCCAAGGCTGTCGCGGAAGCTTTGGCCGTCGCCCAGAAAGTTTTCTTGGGAAGCCCGACGGGCCTGACCCCAGCGTCAAAACGACGGGAACGAGCTTTCGGGCAGCCAGACGTCGCATCGCGAAAAATGGCACGCGACGCGCCCGGGCCGGGTTTCTGCGAACCCTAAACCCTAAAAGGTTTTAGATGTGGGTGGTCAAGGGGTGGGGATGCCGCTTTCGCCGCGCGCCCCCACGACCCCCAGGGTCGAGGGCGCGCTTCATCTTGGAAACCCTAAACCCTAAACCCTAAAGTCTAAGCCGAGCCCACCAACCCCATATGGGCGAGGCTGCCGGAGCGCCAGCGGAGCGCCAATCGTCTTATCAGCTGAGGAGAAGTCTCCGAAGCAAGCTCGGCTGCTTAACTAACCCTGAGTAGTACTCCTTCTTACTCTAGAAAGGTAAAGACCCTAAATCCTACACTTTTTGGCTGCGCTTGCGGCCTCTTCAGGGTCCTACACTTTTTGGTTGCGCTCGGCCTCTTCAAGGGCGTGGATTTGGCTCTTGGACAGGGCTGGGTCTACACTTTTTCGTTGCGCTTGCGGCTTTTTCAGGGGCATGCCATTCGTAGACAGGGCTGGGCCTCCTTTTTTGCAGCCGCGGTTGTCTTCCCCAAGCTTTTTTCCGCCCTTTGCTGGTCCTTCAGTGGGCCGGCGTGAAGTGCTCCGGCTCCAGGAGGCCGCCGAGTAAGTAGTCCGCATCGTGCTTCACCCGGCTGATGGCCACGTAGCCGCCCGCTCTGAAGCGTCTCATGTCCAACCAGATCGTGATGTGAGCGAGCTCTGCCCCTTGCAGCTTGTGGATCGTGCTCGCGTATCCCGGGCGGGCCGGGTAGCATGTGACGCTGGCGCCGTCCTCCAATTCTTCGGTCAAGGGAAACAGGGCAAGGTCTTTTCCCGTGGCCGTGGTCACTCTCAGGCAGCCCGACGGCGTCCAAGCTGCGGACAGTGGCCTCCATCCCGTTCACGAAGTCGAGCGGCTTGTTGAGGTTGCGGGTCAAGTGTAGGCGCATCCCCGCTTCTTGCCGCTGGGTCTCCGCGGGGGTGGCGGCTTCGGGCCATCTTCTTTTTTCTTGTCCAAGGATCGATCGAGCCGCGCCTGCTACACGCGCTTTGGGGCGACCCCGGCATGTCCGAGCAGGCGCACCCACAAGTATTTTCGAAAGGAAAGGTTAGGTCAGCCAACCCGGTCCGAGGCGCAACTCGTTCTTTCGGTTGGAGCTGGCCTTGATAAACTGGCCATCGGGGCCGGCCTCGATGGCATCCGTCGATTTCATATGAACTCTAGTAAGGAACAGGGCCGGCTCGCTTTTCAAGCTCCGCGTTTGAGCTAAATTGCGTCGCCATTGCCCTCGTAGTTCTCGGGGTTCGCCTCCCAGTCTAGCTCCAGCTCGCCCAGGGCCGGCTTGCGCATCTTCTCGAACAGCGCCTGGACACAGAGCTGGTTGACGACGGCCGCCTTCTGCCGAGTGCAGGTGGCCACCGTCGTGTCGGGGTGCTGGCGCAACACTTGCTCGATCTCTTCCAGGGTCGGGTCCCCTGCGTGGGTCCAGGCCTTGTGCCCCCGGCAGATGTCCTTCAGCTGCTCCGGCGTAGGGATTGCCGTGCGCAACAGCTCGAGCTTTTTTCGGAGCTTCTCATCCTTGCAGCGCCACATCTCGTGCAAGTTGACCACGAATGTGCTCCTCCACTTTGGGCTGTCCATGGCCTGGCTCTCGCCGACGCCCGGTAGCTGCCAGAAGTCTCCCGTGAAGACTAGGGCCGGGAGCTTGTCGGCAGCTTCCCACATTTGGATCACGCGGTCGAACTGCTCTGCGGTCAGCTGCGAGACCTCGTCCACCACCACGAGGTCGTACTGCGCCAGGGCATCCAAGTGCTCGTCGGCCCTCTCCTTCCACAACCAAAACGCAGCCGCGCAAGTGTCCACGTCCGCTGCGGGATGCCGGCTGCGGACCCTTGCCGCTTGCTGAGCTGTGGGCAGCGCGTAGAGCACGCGCCCGCCGCTCTCCAGGATCCGGTCGACGCAATTGCCGGCGACCGTGGTCTTACCCGTGCCAGGCGGTCCGAGCCCGGCGATTGGTCGGGCGTCCTTGGCCGCGGCCTCTCGGATCTCGTCAAGTTCCTCGATGTCCTGCGCCGCCCGCGCCTTGGCCGCCCGCTCGGCGGCGCCAAGCACGCTGTCGCGCAGTAGTTGCTGCTGTCGATTGAGCTGCAGGCCCTCGTCTGGGACAGGGAAGCTGCTTCTGCCAGACTTCGGCGAGCTCCCTCGGCGTCTCCTTTGACGATGTGGCCCGCCAGATACTGCTCGACGAGGTGGCGCTCCGCCTTCAGCTTTGCAAGGAACGACTTGACCTTGGCGACGCCCGTGGCCTCCAGCTCCAGCTCCTTGGCCACTGCCTCCTCGTCGCTCCAGTGCTCCGGATGGCGGGCCAAGGCGTTGCCAAGGTGCTGGTACTGCTCGGGCACCTTCTCTGCAACTGACGGGTCGACCAAGTCCTCCAAGTTCCGGAACGGCGCCCGGAGAGCCAGCCATTGGCCAAAATGGCGATCGTTGAAGACCGAGACCGAGTCCACCGCGATGAGCTTTTCTCCCTCCATCTCGCAGTTGTTCGCAAAATCCTCCAGGGTCTCGCTGCTGCCCTGGCGATTCCGCTTGTTCCAGACCCACTGCGCAATCTCGCCCTTCTTGTTTGTTTTGCGGGCGAACTCAAGGAGGCTCATGCCCTCGCGTCGCCAGGCGCTCTCTTGGTAGAGCTTGACGATCTTGGGCACGGCCTCCTCGCTCATTCCCGGCCAGGGCGCCCGCAGTTCCTCCATAGTCCCGCTGTAGCGGCAGGGCGGGAAGGTCTTGGCCGCCAGGTAGAGCCACATCTCCGGCTCGCAGGGCTTGTAGTCGAAGAGCACCCTCCGGGCCACGGAGAACGCCGAGGCCTCGTCCGCCAGCCACTCCTTCTGGAAGGCGTCCGAGA